ATTATAAAGAAAGAACCTGTGCATATTTTATTTGTTTGGGGAAATTAGAGATGTAGACAAGACCTACTGTATTATGGGGGTGATTTTCTAGTTCTGTGCACTGTACCATGTTGTACTGTGATTATGCTATAAGGTTTGGAAAAATTGGACGGTTATATTGGCCACTATATTCTGTGAAGTTAAGCATAATAATCTGTGCATATGTTGTTAGATGGGGAAAAAGGCCAACGAGTGGAATCCACGGATATTCTGTGCATTGTGGCACAAACATTTGTGCAAAACTAGAGGTTTGGGTGGGAAAAAATAGTGTCAATTGAAATTGCGTTAAATACAAGAGCATTTCGCTCTTCAATTATGAATTTTTTTAAAAAAATAAACATAAAATATATAACAGGTCAACGCACTTTGTATTAAAAAGATCAAAATGTCATTTTATTTAACAAAATTTCAACAATTTTGTTGATAGAGGACCAAAATTGGTCATGTCACAATAATAGTAGGACCAAAAGGTGATGTTTTGATAAAAAGAGACTAAAAGTGACTGTCACCTATAAATCTAGGATCAAACATGGAATTAACTCATTCTTAAAATGTATTGTGATGTTTTGATGTGCAATGAGAATGAAATCCTTACAAAATGACAATATTTAAATGATTATGTTATGCCTCTTTAATTTGCTCAAAATTCATACATAGGGCACATCACATTTAGAGAAGGAATCACGGCAGACAGTCTAAATGCTATTATGTTAGAACCCACAATGATAGTTTAGGGTAGATTGCAGACCAAATCTCCACTAAAACATTATCTTAACTAAATTTTCAATACTCTGACAGTGTACTTTTTGTTGTTTTTTTTAAAGACAAAATCTCTTATTATGTCCACTCTCATTACACATGGAACAACTAATTGATCCTCCTTTCATAGATATTTTGATCTTAGAATGACGTGGCTCAGTTTCCTCACGATTCCTTATTTTCTTGGGACGCCATGTCATTCTCCTTGGTATAGGAGCTCCAATTTCTTCAAATTCTGCCCTCGGCCAGAATGATTTCCTTGCCACTTATATAAAGACCTACGTTTTTCAGGAATCCGCCTCATCATAGCAACACGGATATCTTCAAGCATTTGGCACTATAGGCTTTGATCTTACTTTTACGATAGTGCCATTAAAAGCTTTCGACATGTTATTGTCTACAACATCACATTTAACATTCTGCTGGAAGAATGCTTTACACCATAGCTTGGGTGGGTACTTCAGCAAATCCTCACTTGCTTTAGGGTCTCTCTTTGCCAATTCTTTTACAACTTCATCAAATTGTGAGGTAGTTGTTGCCTTTGCACATTTCCAGAATAGTTTCTTGAACACCATGCCTCTATGCTTTTTACTCCAATTTAATTTGCATGAATATGTCGAGCACAGTTTCTTTGCCCTGCTTCTGAAAATAATTGTTAGATCACATTAATTAACCTCTGCACAGAAAGTAGAATGCAAATAGTAAGCGGTAATTTAAAGTAGAATGCAGTAATTTAAATTAATTGTATGTTGAATGCATTAATTTAAAGTAGAATTGCAAGCAATAAGCCGTAAGTATGCTCAGAAAACAAGTAAGCAATAATTTAAAGTAGAATGCAGTAATTTTTAGCATTACACATATCAACACAACACATTCCCACAAAAATTTGTGAATAAAATATCTACAGAAAACTACAACTATTAACAAATTAAAATTTGCAAACCAATATGCAATAAACTCAACACTATCAAATCGAGCTCCAATCGATTCTTACCTCTTTGCACGAAAGCAAAGTCGTCTCAATGTTTATTATCAATAGTTTTGTACTTCCCTGTCTCTTGTACTGATCGATTGAATTGAGAGAGTGAGTTAGGGTCTAATTCGATTGTGAGTTGAGAGAGCGAGAGAGCGTAAGAGAGATAGAGAGATCGAAGGTAGCAGAGGATAAGAGAATTATGGCTTAATTCGATCTGAGTGAGTGCGGTTTTTTTTTTAAAAAATAATTTCACTTATGATAGATAGTGTAAATCATCATTCACATTGGCAACAACTAAGCATTTACCGGCTGAGTTAGGAATAAATGGGCTTAATTGACTTATTTTACCGATTTAGGGGACTTACACGAAGTTTTTTTTTTTTTTTTTGTTTTTTACTTAGGGGGACAATTGCATTATTCGGTTCACTTAGGAGGCCGATTTGACCATTTTACACACACACACACACACACACACACACACACACACACACACACACACATATATATATATATATATATATATATATATATATATATATATATATATATATATATATATAAAGTTCGGATATTCAGGCAGGTTAAATATCCATTATCCAACCCTCACCATGAATTTAAATAAATCGCATGAACTATCGGTCCAATTCGATTTTTAGTCGGATACCTTCTTCGTGGGCTATATTGGGTTACGTGTCAGGCGGGTTAATCAGGTTGGATGGGTCCTAAACAACCTTACATAAACATAAGAGTATGTACATAATGGGAGGTCATGAGATCGAGTCTCAGTGAAGGCGGTGTTGACTCTTTGTGCTTCAATAGGTTAAAAAAGTATAGATGAACAGATACTACAATGTAATAGCGTCAGTAGCTTCCAAAAAAAAAAGTATGTACATAATATGTTATGAGTTATGACAGTCACTATTATCTCTCACAGATACTACAGTTGAAGCTACAATTCCATTGAACAATTACTGAAGATTCATAAAGCATATATTATAAGTTCACAAAAATTGATTCTACAATTTCACAAAAACAGTACCATAATTTCATAAGTCTAATTACAAATGATTAAAAATATACTGTTAATCTTAGCACATATTAAACACATAATAAATTAAAACCTACACCGAAACAAGCAAATTATATTTGAATCAAATTTAACATAAATATTAAACTAATTAATTTGAAACATAAAAAACAAATAAAAATTTGAACACACATTAAAACAAAACAAACCCAACGTTTTAAAAAGGGAAAACGACACATTTTCCCCATGAATTATTTAAGTGACTGTTTTTTCTCCTGATATGTTAAATGGACATATTTACCCTTAAAATAAATATTTCCTTTATTTTTTTTCTCCAACAAATTATAACCACAAATTGGTTCAAACTGAACAGACACTATAGTAACCAAACAGAAAGGTTCTGATGACAATTTAGAACTGAACCCGATATTTAGAGTTTATTAAAATCGCGAACCGAAACTGCCATCATGTTTTGAATTGAAAAAATAAAATACATCAATTGTTGAATTTAGAATATTTTAAAAATAAAAAATAAAATTTTAAAAGAAAGCTTGAACCATCAGTTCAAATTGGATCAGAAACCGTGAACTTACGATCAAAATCAAAATCAAAATCAAATTTAGGTTATATATACTTATATGTGATAATCAGAATAAATGCGAAAAAGAACATACAATATTTACAAATATTATAATTCTAATTTTTAAGCTAATGCTAGTAGTTGTTCTGATTCAAACCTCCAGTTCACGGTTTACGGTTCATGATCCATTTTTTTAATTCACGATTTTAATAAACTGAAACCCAAATATTGGGTTTTGGTTCTGAATCATAACTGAAAATTTTCGATTTGATTGCTATAGTGTCTAGTTCATTTCGAACCGAACCGTGGTCATCCCTACGTGTAAGCAATAATTTGTAAAAGAATAAAAATAAATAAAATATTTATTTTAAGAGTAGAAATGTTCATTTAATATATCAGGAGAAAAACCGCCACTTTATAATAATTGAAGGACTAATGTAGATACATAAGGATATAATTCAGGGAGAAAAAATGTCATTTCCCCTTTAAAAAACATGAAATTGAAGAAGTTTCGCCAATGTCAAATTCTAACTCATCACATGCACCCTCCATAACTCGATGGGGTGTTTGGTTGGATGTAATTTAGTTGTAATTAACTTGTAATTCAATGAAAGCTTTAATTACAGTGTTTGGTTGGAAGGAATTGTAATTTCATGGAATTGCAATTCCCTCCTTTTGTTGAATTGCAATTCATGGGGTACCCCAATGAATTGCAATTCAATGCTTTTGGGAAAAGGAAAAAGTGTAAGAAATAACAAAAATACCCTTGTTGATTGTTATTATTATTATTACACAATGACATTTTAGTTTTTATACCACTTTTTTCTTCTCATCCTCAATAATTTTATTTTTCCCTACCAAACAATATAATTTGAATTCCTACATTATTCCTACCTTATTCTTTTCCCACCGAATTACAATTTCTTTCCTTCCTCTCAACCAAACACCCGTCAATAAAAGGGCGAATACTCTATCAGAGGCAGAGGAAGATGATTTCGATGATGATAACGGTAGCGAGTAGAAGATGGCAAATTATGTTGTGCATCCGTATGCACCACGGATGCAAAAACGACGTCGTTTTGTCAAAATGCGTGTCCTACTTAAAAAAAAAAATCATTTTCGATTCCCAGCAACAACACTATGTTATTCATTTTTTAGTTCATTCATTCTGGATTTTTAGTTATGAAATTCTAGATGTATAGTTATGCAATTCTGGATGTGTAGTTTATGAAGTTATGGATGTGTAGTTATGCAATTCTGGATTTATAATTATGAAGTTATGGATGTGTAGTTATACAATTCTGGATGTATAGTTATGAAGTTATGGATGTGTAGTTATGCAATTCTGGATTTATAGTTATGAAATTATAGATGTGTAGTTATGCAATTCTGGATTTATAGTTATGAAATTATGGATGTGATTAAATTATGGATGTGTAGTTATGCAATTCTAAATTTTTTTTAAAAAAAGTTAGACGTCAAAACGACGTCGTTTTTGCATCCAGATGCACCATGCATGGGCACAACATAACGCTCCGTAGAAGATGTACACAGTTTGATGTGTAGAGATGATGATTTACGCAATTTTTTTTTTTTTTTGAAAAGAGCCTGTGCGGCATTTATTCGAAATATGCTGAAATAGAGTCTGGCGGGTCTAAGTCCGCGTACATACTAGATAGGTGATTAGTTGCAGAAGAAGCTAATGTATGCGCTAAATAATTGTCTAGTCTAGGAACATAATGAATTAAGCAGTAATCAAAAGATGCCATACTAGTTTTGCAACTATCAATGGCATAGCCTAAATAAGAGCGCAATGAGTGTGTTGTAGACGAAAGATATTGTTGGAGCACCAAACAATCTGTGTAGAGGTCTATATCTGTTTCTTCTCGGTGTCTGAGCCATGACAAAGCTTCTTTGCATGCGAAAGCCTCCGCCATTAAGGGCGAAAAACAGTGCATGATAGGGGTGGTCATCGCCGACACATAGCATCCTCGTGAATCCAATATAATAGCCCCCATTGCTGCCTTGTTTGTTGTTGGATCGTACGTCGCATCGAAATAACATTGATTCCTCCCGTTGTGCGTAGTATTGTGTTGGACGGTTGCTGAAAATTCCCGTGATAATGGCAGTGTTTCGGCCTCCCCTTCTCCCATAATTGCTGCGCCTTCCCTCGGGCAGTAGACTGCCGCAACTGGCGGTAAAATAGCAGCCGGCATCGTGGTGATGGCTTGCGGACTTCTTCGAGCGGGATGTGCCTCTTTCCATGCATTGACGGATGACAACGCCATTGCTATCACGTTTTGGGGCCTGGGCAACTTTGCTTCCCATACAGCTCCATTTCTCGTTCGCCATATGAAATACAAGAGAGCCACTGCATAAATAATCCCATCATCATCTAAAATATTCAACAAATCATTAAACCAATCACTGAAAATATTTGTGGCACTATTGGGGATTGGAATGTTGGATCGTGCCCAAATGTTCATCGTATAACCACAAGTGATCAAAGAATGCACAAGATTCTCATGCTCAACTCCACACATTGCACAAGTTGGATCAATATCAACTCTCTTTATAAGTAAATTCTCCGTAGTAGGCAATTTGAAACATAGAGAATATGATTATATTGATTGACGTTGTTAACGATGGAAAAAGAGAAGGTAAGAAATGATGCCATTTTGGACCAGGGTCTAAATCATGATATAATTTACATAAAAAATGAGATATTAGTCAAAGATATTTGTCACAAATGATTACGTGAATTCGGGTCCACCTTGTAAGGTGAACCATTGTTCAAATGTTCATAATTTATCTACTAAAAATTTATAATTTGTACGCTACGATCACACAATGTTAACATATATGTAATTGATTACCTTTTTTTGTATTCACAAATTTCTTTCAAATACTACCGTCACACACTATTAAAGTATTAATATATTAGGATTTGATGACCCTGTATTATATTCACAATTCCCTTCTACCGTTGTTATGTGTTTTTGACTTAGAAACATAATTTATATTCTAAAAGTTTACAATTCCAATACAAAAAATATACTGGTACAATTTATACGTCGTTTAGAACCAAGGTCCACCTTGCAAAGTGGACCCTAGCTCATGGTATAACAACTTGATATTTGTCTAAAAAAGCATTACTCGGAAGGACCACAACAATTTCAAAAAATTTGTCTAAAATTTGAACCCTAGCTCATGGTATAACAACAATTAGTCCTCTGTTAGTTTAGCTCCGATTTGAAATTGTTGTTATACCATGAGCTAGGGTCCATTTTTAGACAAATATCAAGTTGTTATACCATTTAATGCCCCTATAATGTATTCATGCGTGAAAAATTTGATGCGACAACAAAAGAGTGAAAGGTCCCTAATGCCCTCAAAGTAGAGAGTGAAAGTACTATTATACCTTCACATTAGATGGTGATTTAACCCCAAACAGACGGAGGACCATATCGCATAAATTGAATACTTGATGACTTAATCGGTCAAAAAAAAGTCGAGAACCAATTTGGTACTTTCGCCATAGTCGTGGGACTAAAATGGTAGTTTACTCAACTTTATTCGTTTGAGTTGTGCAAAGCTGCATTTGCACGCGCTACTATTCTCCAAGTCCCACGTGCCTGGTGCACGTGAAATACCTTCCGGAATTCAGATCGACAAATTACCCGGGAAGGAGCCGTTTTAGTTTAAATTCAAAATTCAAATTCAAACTTCCTCTCCTCTTTGAATACCAAACCCAAGAAACCTCTCTAAACTTTTCCTACTAAAATTCTGTCTCATAATCTCATACCTTATCCAAAGTATAGCATTTCCTAGCTCTCGGGTTTTTTTTTACTGATGTTTTCTTGATTTTAGTTAATATTATTTTTATTTCGAAAGATGGATTTTCACAGCATGAAAAGGAAGGAACTTCAAGAGCTGTGCAAGAACCATGGCGTTCCTGCGAATTTATCGAATGTCGAAATGGCCAACAGGCTTTCTTCCATTTTTAAGGTAACCCATTTCTCGACTTCCCCTTCCGCTCCTTTAATTTTGAGCTAATTTCGAAGTAGATAGTGTCTTTTTCCCAAGAGTGGGTAGAAAACTAGAAATATTATGTTTGAGATTGATTGAGAGCGTAATTCTTTTGTTCAGGGAAGTGAAAAAGAAAAGCCCATGATTCGTGGGCGGTCGTGTTTGAAGGCGGTGGATGATGGTGAGTGTGAAAATGATTCGGATGGTGTAGATAGGAAGGCCAAGAAAGTTAGGTTTAGCCCTGAAAATGAGCTGATTGAGTTCACTAAATCAATTGCAAAAAGGGGGTGTAGGAGGAAATCGAGGATGGGCAATTCTTGCTTGATTCTTGAGAATGCCTGTAGTGTTGAGCTAAACCGAAGAGCAGCAAAGAGAAGCCCGGTTAGAGTCACCCGGTCACGGGGACTATCAATTTTGGATGGTGGGGATGCTGAGAAGAAGGTAACCAAAAGGGGGTCGAATGGTAACGGTAGAGTAGAGAAATTATCTTCTGATAATGAAGTTAGAGTAGCCACAAGGAGAGCATTGAGGAATAGAGAGATGCAAGATGAAGGGTCGAGAGAAAGGCAACAAAACCCGGGTAGTGCCAAAGGGATTGAGGATGTTTCGGAGAGTAAACAGATTGGCGAGGAACCTCAAGGTGCATTTAGGCGATCTAAGAGGAATGCAGCTAAGAAGGATAATGAAGATGTTGGTAAAAATGAAAACAATAATGGGGGAAGGTTGGATAGAAAGCAGGCACTTTTAGAAGTTGAAGCTTCAGAATTGGAGATAACAGTGGAAGGGAAAAAAGAAAGAGAGGATGATAATGCAGGGTTGAGAAGAAGTGGAAGACAGAGTAAGCAAGGTCCATTAGGCAGTCATGAAGTTCTTCAAAGTCAAGATGTTTTGGAGGAACCCAAAAAGGAGCTGAGGAGATCAAAGAGGAATGTTACACTTGCCAAAGACACAGTAATGTTTGATGAGAACAAAAACTCTGGGAAGGTAAGGTTGGGAAGAAATCAGATTAAATTGGAAGCGAAAACTTGTAAACGGGAGGCTGCTGGAGTCAAGATTGCTGAAGATAGTTTTGCTTCTTCTAATGCTAGTAATGGCGAAAACAGAGCTTGCACAAAGAGATTGTTGAGGAACAAAAAGGTTGCAGTTAGTGAGGACATTGATGAAGGATTGAAGAAAATGGGAGGACAAACAAGTATGAGAAATGAGAAATCTGGTGAGGAAGGTCCTCAAAACAAACAGATTGAAGAGGAACTAAACAAGGGACTGAGGAGATCAAAGCGTACTGCAGCCAAAATGGATGAATCACAGTATCCATACCAGGGAATTGGTAAAGGCAAAATGGTTAGAAAGGAGCAGAAAACCAGAAGTCAGTTTGCCAAGAGTGTGGAAGCATCTATACTTGAGGCTATGCCTGCAACTGAAATTGCAGCTTTGGAAAAAAATGAAGTTGGTAAAGAACCAGCAAAAGCTACAATTGGAAGTAGCCCACAAAACTCTATGATGCCTTTGCTTGAGAAAGCTGCCAAAGAGACAGAAGCTTCCTCATTTGGTGCTATGTCTGAAACTGAAACTGCAGATGAGAATAGATTAGAAGTGCTTATTCAAGTTGAAGAACCAAGAAGTATTTCACCTAAAAGTTCTTCATTTAACACTCGGTTTGAAACTGAAAGTGCAGCTGAGACTAGATTAGAAGTGGTTAATCAAGTTGGAGAAGGAACAAGTGCTTCACCTAGAAGAGCTACTGGACAAAAATCCCGGACAACCTTTGGAAATTTTCATCAAAATATGAACCAAAATTTATCAAGTCATTCAACTTCGAATGCCAGTCTTGAGGTGGAGGTCATTAAAGATGATGAGATGTCTGAAGCTGATGGGCTGAAGCATAAAACTGTTATGTTTTACTGCAATTCATCCATTGATGGACAAGTTGATTCTAGCAAAACTGTTGCAAGCAGGGAATTAAGCAACGACTCAAGCAAATCATTTGATGAACACGAAGGAACAGTGGCAGAAGAGATGAGGACATCTAGAAGGAATGCTTCTGATGAAACTGGGAGAATTCACAATGCTACTGTGGATGCTGCAGTGGAAAAAGAATCATGTAATAAGAAGAGCACACCTGCTGAAACTTCTTCCCAACAGTTAAGGGTTGATGCTACTAGAGATGATAAAATTGTACAACCAGTTGGTGAAGACAGAGATTCTGGAAACAAAAATATGGCATTGGGAGTTTCCATAGCTGAGGACTTAACAAAGATTAATGAGCAATGCACCCATGTTGCTCTGTTGTCTGGGACAACAGATACAGAAACCACAAAAGAACCAGCTAGTACTGAGCCCCTTATGGATGAATCTTGCTTGGAAGGAAATGAATCTGAAGAGACAAGACATACAAAAAATCAAGTTTCTCCTAACAATGTTGGTGACAGAATAGGAGAAGTGGGGGAATTAAAAATTCCTCAATTGGTTAGTGGAGTTGAGTATTCACGTTCTGACCTTGTTGACTTACACACTAATACTGAAGTCCAAATAGTGGATATTCCAGTGACTGAGTCAAAGGGCTTTGCTGAAATGGTGAAAATTTCAATGGAGGTGAATGTAGAGAATTCATTGGATGACTTAGAAGTTGCTAATTTGGCTGAGCAAGAACCATCTGAAGACTTTAATGTTGACTTAGATAGTGCTTCCATTGAGGCCAACTCCACAATCGATTGCTATAGATCCAATGGTCAATTGTACTTGACAGGTTAGAATGTATTGATTGTTAAAGAGCTAATGGTCTATTGTACTTTACATGTTAGTATATTTGAGATTAATGATTATATCTCTATTCATGTAAAGACATAATTTTTCTCTGTCTATGTTTCAGCTGGTGTAAAAGAGATGCAGAAAGAGGAGTTGACAGAGATTGGCTATGCTGAATCTGTAGGCAAAGAAGATGAAATTGCAGGAGAAAATGAAATGGTTGTAATAGCTGAGCCACTGAACATAGCTAATGAAAAAAGTCCAGAAACCCAAGTTTCCTTAGCAGAAGACAGAATGAGTAATGGGGAGAAGAAATCACTACAGATTGGGGACTGCACTCAAGTTGCTGTATTGTCTTGTGTAGAAGTTACAGATATCCTCAATGAACCAATGAATTCTGGAAGCTTCATTGATGATACTATTATGAGTAGCAAAAAATTTGAAGAGTCAGCTAAGCAAACCAGGCAAAGGTCCTCCCCCAAAGTTGGCAATATAAAAAAAATGGAAGAAGTGAATAGCCCTCAATTGGAGAATGCAGTTAAGGAGTCATTCTCTGAACTTCTTAATTCTCACACTGATCATGTGGAGCAAGAGAAAGTTCTTGTAGATGAAATAAAAGACTTCTCTGATAAAGTTAACATTTCATTGGAAAAGAATGCTGAGAAATCACTGGGTGGCTTAGTAGGTTATAATCTTGTTCACTGTAAAACATATGAAGGCATAGATGTTGATAGAGAAAAAGAGAAGGAAGAAGTGAATAGCCCTCAATTGGAGAATGCAGTTAAGGAGTCATTCTCTGAACTTGTTACTTCTCACACTGATCATGTGGAGCAAGAAAAAGTTCTTGTAGATGAAATAAAAGACATCTCTGATAAAGTCAACATTTCATTGGAAGAGAACACTGATAAGTCACTGGGTGGCATAGTAGGTTATAATGTGTTTCACTGTGAAACATATGATGGCGTAAATGTTGACAGAGAAGAAGAGATTGAAGAAGTAAATAGTCCTCAATTGGATAATGCAGTTAACGAGTCATTCTCTGAACTTGTTACTTCTCACACTGATCATGTGGAGCAAGAGAAAGTTCTTGTAGATGAAATAAAAGACTTCTCTGATAAAGTTAACATTTCATTGGAAGAGAATGTTGAGAAACCACTGGGTGGCTTAGTAGGTCATAATCTTGGTCTCTGTAAAACATATGATGGCATAAATGTTGATAGAGAAAAAGAGATGGAAGAAGTGAATGGCCCTCAATTGGAGAATGCAGTTAAGGAATCATTCTCTAAACTTGTTACTTCTGACAATGATCATGAGGAGCAAGAAAAAGTTCTTGTAAATGAAATAAAAGACTTCTCTGATAAAGTCAACATTTCATTGGAAGAGAATGCTGAGAAGCCACTGGGTGGCTTAGTAGTTCATTGTCTTGGTCTCTGTAAAACATATGATGGCATAAATATTGATAGAGAAAAAGAGATGAATGAAGTGAATAGCCTTCAGTTGGAGAGTGCAGCTAAGGAGTCATTCACTGAACTTGTTACTTCTCACACTGATCGTGTGGAGCAAGAAAAAGTTCATGTAGATGAAATAAAAGGCTTCTCTGATAAAATTAAATTTTCATTGGAAGAGAATGCTGAAAAGCCACTGGGTGGTTTAGTAGATCATAATCTTGGTCTCTGTAAAACATATGGTGGTGTAAATGTTGACAGAGAAAAAGAGATGGAAGAAGTGAATAGCCCTCAATTGGAGAATGCAGTTATGGAATCATTCTCTAAACTTGTTACTTCTGACAATGATCATGAGGATCAAGAAAAAGTTCTTGTAGATGAAATAAAAGACTTCTCTGATACAGTCAACATTTCATTGGAAGAGAATGCTGAGAAGTCACTGGGTGGCTTAGTTGGTTATAATCCTGTTCACAGTATAACATATGATGGCATAAATGTTGATAAAGATACTGTTCCTTATGAGATCATCTCCCCAACTAAGGCCTATGGATGTATTGATCAATCAGATTTGACAGGTTATTTTTTATTTCATTATTATTTTTTATGATTATTGATTATTCTAATTATTCAAGAAAAGTACTAAAGTTTTATTACTAATTTGCAGCGGATACAGAGGAGAAGCAGACTGAGGAAGTGGCAGAGCTTCAATATGCATGTTCATTGAGCAAAGGCATAGGCTCTACCTTTCAATTGGTTGAACATGCTGTTAGAGGTGAACTTTCAGGTGAAAAGAAGCTGGCTGTAAATGCAGCAGACAGTGTCAATAGCTTTGCCACCATGAAAGTGTCCAATGATGTTCTACAGGACACCCTAGATGATAGACCTGGAGAGAACCTTGAAGATGGATGCCAAAGATTTGAAAAAGCTGGTTTTGTTGATTCAAGTGAAAAGCATAAATGTGATGCTTCCATACTAGAGCTTCATGCAGGAAATGCAGAGAACATAGGTGCTGGATATCTCTATAAATTAACAATTCTTAACTGTTCTTAATTAAGGTCCAATATCCATTTCCCTTTTTGTGTGTATTTGTATCAAATTAAATAATGAAAATGCATTGGTAAAGTTGCAGAACCTGCTAGTACTGCGGATTGGAAGAAAGCATTGCAACTTGGGGAACAATCAAGCAAGCTTAGAAACAGTATTGAGTTTGTCTTTGTTGAAGGAGAAGAAATACTTAAAGATGGAGACTTGGAGGATCAGGGCATTCAGGTGGATGCCCCTGATAATGATGGTAAACCTTCAGTATCTGATGCAACTGAAAGGAGAAGTGAGACTAGCCTACAAGAAGCTGGAGGCAGCAATGCTGAAGGTTAAACTGGGATAGCTTTTTGTTTTTCTCTCTATGAGTGTTTTGTAGTCACATAACACCACTATGTCCTTAGAGTATCAGATTAATCAGCATCCAGTTATTTACTAATCTCAAAGGGCTATTTAGGCATTTTACTGATACAAGTTCCTTTTTGTTTTCAACAGGTTCTGTTAATAATGTTGAACATGAGCATTTTCCTCCTTCAGAGTCTAATCTGCAGAAGCATGGTTAGTTCTTTACCTTCATTAGTGCTTAAGAAACTAATAGAGTCTAATATAATGGACTATATTGCTTAGCTAAACTCAATCTGCTTCATATTTTAGTTGAGTTCATGTAAAGGCATGTTTAACAGGAGAATTTGCAAATGATGCAGGGACTGAAATAAATAATCAAAGAACCCATTCCAATGGTCTAGAAACAGGAAGAGCCCTATGTGAATGTGAAGATGGATCTGATGTTATGGAATCTGGTTAGTAAAATAGTGGATATTAACATTAGATATCCAATCACTTAATCATAGACTTGATTGCTTCATCAAACTTGTTTCATGATGAATTAGCTTAAAAGTTCGGTTCAGATTCAGTTCCTGGAGTTCTTGATCTCGAGTCTTCATATTGTGTTTCTCCTTCCAAGTGCAGTGATAATGAAGTGCAAAGTTTTATATTGTGGCATTTAGGATTGTAAAATGGATTTTAACTTCAATTTCTTATGCACTTAAATTATATTGTTTGTCTGTTGACAGAAGAACAACTGGGATTGCTGTTCTCCACACCCATCAAAGATGGAAGCACTTGCGAAGAGAATGCCAATGCCTGCTACATGGATAGCAACAAAACATCAGGTCAATTCACAGATGCTTCCATTGCAGGTAACCAAACTATATCAATATTCTTAATTTCTTATAATTGTATTTATAGGAACTTTTATTCCTCATCTACATTTTCTGCTTTGATGAATTTAATTTGCACAAATCTTAACAAATAACAGGTAACGAACTCAGAAAGTTGTTTACAACCTGTGGTGATGTTTCATGCCCCAATGGAAATGATAAGTGCAGAGATCAAAGCGCCAACACCAATGGCTTAGAAAGTCATAGATGCCTCTCTGATTGTGAATGTGGATCTGATAGCACTGAACAAGGTTAGTAAACTTGAAGCTATTGAATATATTACCACTTTCTTCAGAATGCAGTTTTCTTTCTCCAACTTCATGAGGAATAGGATGCTTTCTTTTAAATACTTTTACTTTTTATAATTGCTGTTCCGTTCATTCTTTGTAACGATGCTTTTGATTGTGGTACTCAGAAATACAGGAAATTTATCTCTCAATTCAATTTCTTTTACATTTTAAAGAATTATTTGCCTGATGACAGGTTATCAACTCAGATTATTGTTTTCTACACCAACCAGCATTAAAAGCACTTCTCAAAATGACAGTACACATGGCTTAGAAATGGACAGAGTCCTCTGTGAATGTATAGAAAAATTTGATGCTCTGGAACAAGGTATCTAAAGTAGTTTGGACTGCCATCTATTTGCAATGTTGAGTGTTTCACTGTTTCATGAGGGTATCTTACAATTTTTTTACTGTACCACCACTTTTGTTCATGAAGCTTCACATTGCATTACTCCTTTGAAGTTCGCTATTGATGTTACGAAAGTGTAGAGAAAGAGTTTTTAATGTGTTGTCGTATATTGTCTCAAACTGTCATATATAGAGAATACAAAGCCCTATAAATAGGTGCTATGTCCTACCTACCTAAATCCCTAAACTGCCTAATATATAGAGATTCTATATTATCAAATATATATTCTATAACAATTGACAATGGGCAAGGTTTATTTTCAAATGTTTCATTTTGGATGGGAAATTTGCTCTTGCTATCTCTAGCAGTATTTAAATATGCAGTATCTTATTTGCCTAATCACAGATGATCAACTTAGACTGCTGTTTTCCACACCCAAAAGTGTTAGAGGTACAGATGAAGAGAATGCCAAGGACTTCTACATGGATAAAATGATTGAGGCATCCTATGCAGGTAAGCAATTTACTTTGCATTATACAGATAATTTTATATATTTTATTATGTTTATTTATTGTTGTAATGCACATAGGCCAAACCACACTAAACCATTGAATCCAACTAATTAGTCTGTCTAACCCATGGCCTTATAAACCCATATATTCTGTCTTATTTTATCAATGTGGGACTCTTAACAATCTTCAAAAGAACTGATCAAAATGCTTTTGCTCTTTTTTATGATGCTCTACACTGGATAAATTATTTGTTTCTGTTGATGACAGAACGACCCGATTCTGGTGCCGAGTTTTCTCCTTCAAGCAATCTGAAATTGAACTTATATTTTGGAGGGAATATGGAAGAAAAAGCCCAACAATCACATGTGGAAAATATATGTACTAGTTCCAAATGCAACTACATTAAGAAGGATGACATAAAAGGGTGCCCAACAGCTATGGTTGACAATGACCAAATAATAGCAAACAGCTATCTCTTATTTGATTCTCCATCTAAACTTCACGCCATCACGGACGAAAGAAATGACCTTGATTCCAAATCCAACGAACGCTCAGAACCAGGTCTGAAACCAACACTCCAATCTAGTGCAGAAATTGATTCAGATGGTGATAAAGGTATGCAATGTTTTAGCCATAATATATCTACTTTACTGACTAAAACGAGGAAGCTAGCATGACCCTTGTATGATTTAGGACTTGTTGAAAAGAATGGCTCAAGAGAAGAACAAACTGCAAATAGCCTCTTCTTCTCCGGGGACGGGGAGTTAAACTCCCTGCTGAGAAAGAGTGATACAAGAAGCATTTTGATACATGCAACACCCTACAAAAAACCCATTAGAGTGGACATGAAAGAGAATGCTCCAGCTCTCAAGGGGGGGCTCATTGGCACTTTAACAGCAGCCAGACCAGAAAATCCGCGTCGACCCTTGAAGGATTTGCAGTGGAATGATGGAAAAAATTGATACATATGCTAATATTTTGAAATATAAAGTATTTAGCAGTGCTTTTATATTTTGTTTATTGTGTGTATCCAAGCCAATTTATCTTTGTATGGTGTGCAAGCATATCTCATGCTAATTGTGTGGAAGTGTACTCAATATTTCTAATGGTTTGTGATCTGACAGATACTTAAGCAGTGTTTTTTTATCTTTGTGTTGAAGATTCAAGATTTTCTGCAGAATGCATATAATTGAGTGAAAGTGTACTCAATATATTTTTTATTTTTTTATTCTTTTTTGACCAAAATGGTGGATAGAGATTAGAGATGAACACAGTTTGGTTGGAACTATTTGTTTGAATTACATTGAATACTATAGAACCGGAATCCATACGGTTCCGGTTTCGAAAATATAGGATTAGAAAATTGAAAAAAAAAATTATTAAATGCAAGTCTAAAATTATTATTATTATTTATATAAATAATTTTAAATTTTAAAATAAATACAAGCCTAAATTTTTTATTATTATTGTTATTTCTTTAACTTCAAATTCTGAATGTTTGATCTTAAGTTGTTTTAGAATTTTTTTTTTTAAAAAAAAAAACTTTTTAAAAGTTGAATATGGATAATTTCGAAAATACAAATTGGAAAGTTAAGAAAAATAAAGGTTCAATATGAAATTGCTGGTTTCAATGAGTCAAAATCGAATCTTTCTCGCAAAATTTCATTTTTGATTTCTTGAAACATGGAATTGATAACTAACAGTTTGAATTGAAATTGAATCGTGGGATAATGTTGTTGGGAATTTGAGGAAACTGTAGAAGTATAATTTCCAAAATGGTCATCTGGCTATGGTTTTTTTTTTTTTTTTTATAAATTAGTTTCTTGACTTTTAATTGCACCTAAAATGGTCTTCCGACTATTGAATTTTAAGCTAAAATGGTTCTCTGTTAATTTTGGTGTTAAGTGGGTGTTAAAATGAGAGGTAAAACTGGTAATTCAAGGTTTTCACTATAGTCAGAGAATTACTTTGGGTGCAATTAAAATTCAAATAATCAATTTGAGAAAATGACATAGTCGGAGGATCATTTTAGAAATTTTCTCTTTATAGTTCAAGCATGATTTTGTACTGAAATGGTCTCTTGACTATATCAAAATTATCAATTTGGCCCTAAATTAACGGAAGTCTAACGGCAAAACTGACGGAGGACCAAATTGATTAAGAATTTTAAAGTTGAGGGACTTAATTGGTCAAAAAAATTATTGAGAACTAAATTGGTAATTTCACTATAGTCAATGGATCATTTTGATAATTAACTCTATTTAAAAGGTGAATAAAAGATCCATTTGAAAGCAATGTGGGACAATTAAATTCTTGAATATCACGCATTCAAAAAAAAAATAAAAATTCTTGAATGTCACACTATTGTACGTATGTATGTCTCTCCAACAAATGTTAATTTGAATAAAAGAATGTAGACCTTACAAAGGACGGTTATCAAACAAAATATTGCAATAAACACCAATAGCTCACACCCAAAAAAAAAAAAAAAAAAAATATATATATATATATATATATATATATATCTCCGTAAAAACTATGTTATATATATATATATATATATATATATATATATATATATATATATATATATATATATATATATATACACACACACACACAACAAAATAGAAGATTTATTGGTAAAGTCTAAACTTCAATTTAATCTTGTTGAATTGTTTGGTGAAAATAAACATGGGAAAGGTTCAATTATGGTATCTTTAATTTGTAAGCATTGCAATGTTAAGAGCCCTAAATCCTCCATGTGCCTTTTGCTATCTTTCAATTTCTCCCAAAGCAACTCATGGATATGTACTTAGCACTTCTCTTCGATATAAATAATATTTAATTTCTCCTTTCATACATTCATTAAACACCAACCCCTTTCTCAAACACTTGAGTTTATCCACTATGTTGCATATGTTCTATGCCTCCCCCTCCTTAGCTTTTGCAAATATTAAAAATGTATCATTCGATCTAAAAAAAAAAAAAAAAAAATTAGTTGTTACACTCTTGGAGCACGTACTCTTCCCTCTGTTTTATGCTTTCTTCAATATACATCATATGACTTTCATAACCAAGTTAAGTTATAGATTGATAAGAGTCGAGCATGCCCAATTCTAATACTAACTTCAATCCTCTACAAATTTTGTTTAGATTTACTTGACCAATATGAATATGAATAAGATTTAGCACACTTCATGTGGTCATTATGCTTAAATTTGGTATTCATTTGAACTATATGCTATATACTACAAAACGATTTTTATGTTATTGTTAATAATTTTTTTTTTGAAAAATATGTTATTGTTAATAAAAATATTCTTTTGAAGAAAACAATCAAAGTACTTTCTCCTCTGAGTTGTTAAGCTTTATGAAACAAAGAAGTTGTTCACATTTTAGTTTAGCTTATGTAAACCTTTTGGACAGCTGCACTACATCTTGATAGAGCAGGATCAAGACCAAGAACTACTCAAGAAATTGAACCATATATCAACCTGTTCAGAAGTAAGTTCAAGGAAGTTGAAGTCGTTAAGGAAATTCTAGAAGTCTGATATAAAAGATCAAATGGATGTTGAGAAGAAACTAGAAGAGAGAATTTATAGAGATCTTTGCTCTCAAGATATCAATTAATGCGTTAAACTAATGACATGAAATTCCAAACTAACTATTTAAGATTTAAATCATCATTAGAGATCAAGTCATGAATATGTCCATAGTCTTCGGGTTGTAAGTTTCAAGGAAGCATGACAAGAGTTGGGTGATGCTGTTGTTGATGGGAGCCTCAATACCAATCAATCGGAAAACCAATTAGCCAATTCTTCACAAAAGTTCATTGCCCAATCAAACTAAGCGTTAGTTGTAATTTCGATTTGAAAACTTCGTGTTCACTATGAATGAGTCTTGGAATCTTTTATAATTGAATGAGGAATTGGGTAGATTATTCCTTGGAATGCCACCCTGATGTAGGAGTAGTTACTCTGAATTGCGTTACCAAATATGTTGTGTCAATTTAATTTCATTTCCTGTAGATTTTAAGTCTTCAAAGTTTCTCACTCTTTATATTAGTAGTTCTAAGTGTAGTTCGAGATTACTCTACTTTCTGTTTTATTGACTTTGGTTTGAAAATACTCCGTTGAACAAATCCTTCAACTACCAAGTATTTTGAGACCTTAATTGTTAGCTTGATAGCTATTTTCAATTACTTTTCCAAAAAAAAAAAAAAAAAAAAAAAGTGTCAATACCTCGATTTGGTCCCTCGATTATTAGAATTTCACAACTTTGGTCAGACTTAAAAACTTGTCCAATTACATCCTCAACTATGCAAACATTAACCGAAATAGTCCTCAGTCTGTTTTACCGTCAAACTAGAAGGGTAAAATAGGAAGTTCAAATAGTCATCTTCTTCCTTAACTGGTTTCGACGTTTCGTTTATATAGCTAGATTAAGAATTACATTTTCCCTTCCATCGAAATCAGACATTCATCTTATTCCCATTTTACTTTTAAACACTATTTTTCCTTTTCTCCTCTATGTACTATGCAACCAAACTACAATGAAGATAGCTATGGTTCCTCAACCAATTAATAGGATGGAATTGTAATTCCATTCCTACCAAACTCCATGAAATTGTAATTCCATGGTTTGGTTGCAACCATGGAATTGCAATTCCTAGAATCCCGTCTTGATCATTGAGAATTTGAGACTAATGATATATTTATAGATTTATAGATTATTTATGCATTAAAAATTATTGTAATTTCCTTTCAAAAAAAAAAATTTATTGTAATTTCTTTGCTATCAAACTCCATGGAATTGTAATTCCATGGTTTGGTTGGAGGAAATTACAATTCTTAGAGTTCCCTCTTGGTCATTGAGAATTTGAGATTAATGAAATATATTTATACATTATTTATGCATTAAAAATTAGATTTAAGTTAAAAATACAAAATTTAACTTCACTTATTATGTAACTTGTATGGTAGACCGTGGTATATGAAATTTTGACAAGTTGTTGAAGACACCCAAGCTTGGGGGAAGAATAGTGAAGCTTATCACTGTAAAATGTAACAATCCAAATTACAGTGGCAAAAATAAACCTAAGAGCAATGATTAATTCGGTAAAAATTAAATTAGCTTGAATGACTATCACATCAAAAAATACAACCAACCGTGATCACTTTTCCCCAAGTAACAGGAATTTGACAAAAAGCTAGGACCAAATTCAATTAAAACCAAGCTTGAATGGCCTATCAAATAGGTCTTGTGCATTTCTGCCCAAACTTGGAAGCAAGGAAACACAATATTTGCACAGATGAGAGGAGAGATTCAGTACAGCTACTGTACAAGCTTGAGTGCATCCTCAATACGTTTGATTAAATTGTCAGCTGATAGTGCACCCTCCTGAAATGAACACATTAGGGCTATTAACAAAACTAAATATATCAAAGATGTGTGATCGAAAAGAAATTTTCCACCAAAGTGTGATCAATTCATGCTACAAGCCTGCCTACAAGGGGAAAACATAATATAACTTTAACAATTCTGATATTTATTTTAAGAAAACCAACTCTATGAAACACAGATATAGAAATGAGCATTGCATCGGACACGATGGAAATGGATTTAAGTATACGCAACTTCCAAATTGTGTCATGCTACTTCTTTTACTGGTAGACCAAAACATGGGTAAATGGACCCAAAAAAAAAAGATGACTTATAATCTGGTTACTTACAAAGCGATCGCATGGTTTCCCATCCTTGAACAGAATGAATGTTGGCAGTGCCTGTATTTTGTACCTGTCCGCAATGCTAGGATACTTTTCAGTATCAATTTTCACCACTTGAATTTTATCTTTCATTGCATTACCTACATCGTTGAGGATAGGAACCATGAACTGGCAAGGACCACACCTGCAGTGTACATGAGTGATAAATGCTTCATAAAATTAACCTTAAGACATTCCACACAAGATAATTACGGAAATTGTGCCATTCTATCATGGAAAGCGAGTCCTAATTTATAAAGCAAGTAGTTGTCGCAAATTGAAAAAGAAAAAGAGAAGGATGATCCTTCAGAAAGCATTGTCACATCATAAGAGACACTGCCAAGTACTTAAAATCTCATTACTGAGTGTTTATAATCACATGCAGAATGATGGAACAGAACAAGGACTATAAAACCATGTACATGCTCTCATAAGTTATTAGCAGAGGAAGCAGGTAGTAGAAGAGCACAAATCAGCAGAAACCCAGCATAACTTACCAAGTTGCATAGAAGTCAACCAAAACTGGTTTGTCAGAATTTTCCAGAATATCATCAAAGGAAGAAAATGTCTCCTTCTTTGCTTGAACCTAATTACACAGTTTACTAAATTAGGTGAGAATCTTTTGAAGTAAACTACTTTAACAAGTTATAGAAGGCAATGAAGGTTGCACTTGAATTGCTGAAAGCCAAAATCATAAAGGATGCATGCCAAATTGCCAATTCAAAAAATCAAATAGAATATTGACAAAAATCTCACCAAGTAACAGAAAGGAATCCAGAAGACAGTTATTCTAACAAGAGGAAATCACAAACTGCACTCTATTGTTCAATGTTCAGAAGTCAGAAACTGAATATCATAAACTACCAAAAGCATCACCTACTTCAAAAATGGCAAAACATAAAATTATTTCTAGTACTTTCACCAAATCAAGTACACAAAATTTAAGGTAAATATAGTTTCACAGCATTTAGTAAATATTTATATCAATACCCAAAATCAATACAAGAATGCTTAGATATATAACACATGCACCTAAATTCTAGCAATTCAAGAATCAATGAAAATCCAAATCAAATTCCTCAACATTCTAGCAATAATATATGAAATGGAGATGATACCAAGTTCTAAAAACTCAAGAATTAAACTCCGAACAAATATGCAAACCACCTCTTTGCAATTCTAAATCTCAAAAATAATTAATGGAAGTCAATGTAGAATTCTAATAAAATCAAATAACTCAAAAAAAAAAAAAAAAAATCAGAACAACAATACTAACCACCTCCTCATAATTCTTAAAATCAATTATGAAATTCAACTTGTAGTTCTAATAAATTAAACAAGTCAAGAATAAAAATCCGAACAAAAAATACTAACCACTTCCTGATATAATAATTAAAAATTATAAATGGAATTCAACGTGTAATTCTAATGAAATTAAGTAACTCAAGAATCACTACAAATGGCCGTTGCAATCGCATCGTACGAAAACAAACAAGCTCGCAGATGCGAAATCAAAATCCACGAATATCACAAGAAAATGTAGAAGCAACAATTCACCAGAGGAAGAGTTCGGGGACGAGACTTATGATCGGAGCCGTGAAATCCAATCCGCACGCGGCGAAGTTGTCTAGGGAGTTGCAAGGACGAAAAGCGAGAGAGCTTCGACGTTGAAGAAGAAGTCAACGGCGCGGCGGCTGAACGGTGTTTGGTGTTCAAGGAGTAGAGAGCAGCGGCCTTTGCAGAAATCGCCATTTTCTTCGAGCGAGGACGAGAGAGAAATTCGGAGAGTAATTATTATAGAGGAAAGAAGAGAGATGTGAACCGTTGATGAAGTGGACTGGCTTGGGGATCGAATGAATATGATTGAGTCGGAAATATCTTACACGTTTCTATTTGCTTTTGCTTCACTCCAGTTCCTACTTTGGCATTGGGTATTTGTAATATTTTAGTCCCCGCACTGAGATGACTCATACGTTCTCGCTACTAATTAATTTCCTATTCTTCAATAATAACAAAAAACAAAACAGAATTTAAAATAAAAAAAAAAAAAATTAAAGGTAATCAGTAGCGTCAGGCGCGCTCGACACATTGCACGCGCCCGACCTTCCTCTTCAGCTGCGCGTTACAAGCAGTCCGTGTGTTTTTTTTTTCTTCCATTCTCCCACTCTTTACAGGAGAATTGCTCTTTCTATTCTCCCATCTGTTGTTGAGCTGCATATTTGTGTACTAATTTTCCCATATTATACTCTGATGGGGATGCTCTTATAAGATATATAAAAAGTTCAAAAATGAGGGGAAGAGGCTAGGACCCAAAAGTACAAAACTCGCTGGCCAAGTGTCCATAGAGGACGAAATCGAGTAGCACAAAAACAGAAAATTATATCATGGACCAGTGTCTACTTTGTATTGTGGACCTTAATCTAAAAACAACCTTTGATTTTGTACTATAAACAAATTAAAGGCACATCAAATGGTAATTACATACACATAACATGATAACTATAGACACATAAACTGATAACTGCATGTACAAAATATGTTAACTGTAAATGCAGACACATGTTAACCAACATCTAATGTATCTACAGTTAACATATCATGTATCTGTAATTAACAATTTATGTGTTTGTAGTTATCATATTATGTGTTTATAATTATCATGTTATGTGCTTTCAATTTGTTTACATATACAGAAATTGTTAATTATAAATACTAAATATGTTAACTACATACACATAATTTTTAGACCAAGATTCACAAATCACAATGCAATATGAACTTTGATTCATGGTATAACGATTGCACGAAAACTCATGCGGGACATACTCAAGCCGAGTTCCTTTTTTTTTTTGAATGCTACTGGCTCTATTACATTGTAGTATCCCTCCACTGAGGCTCGAACTCACAAAAAGAACCAATAACGCCTCGACCGAGGCTCGAACTCACAACCCAGGTACCATACTTTCTCAACCTATTGAAACACAAAAAACCAAGAACGTCTCCACTAAAGCTCAAACTCACAATCTTAAGTCCAACTCAGGTACCATTAGACCACATAGTCTTGGTATGTTCCTAAATCACCCATAGCGACAAAAAGCCACCAAGTGCGAAACATGCCAAATGCGCACAGGCCAATCTCAATGTCACTTAGTGGAGGTTAACAGCAACAACAAAAAACTAAGTCACGAACCAAATCCAATCAAGATCAGCCAAACCAAGCAATACGTAGGGTCATCCATCTCTATCAATAACATCCCCATCTCTCCTGTGATTCAGCTTTTTGCTAACTCTCTAGGGTCATCCATCTCTCCTGTTTGCACTTTATTTGCTAGTTTCAATCGAGTTTTTTTAGTTTGAAAATTTAATTCCACTATTTGGTCGGGTTGAACGACTTATTTAATCCTTATCTCTAATAAATATAAGAAATTTTTAGTGCCATACAAAGTGAAATGATATAGGCATATAGCGATTGTAAGGAGTAAAAATAACAATTTGCTAATATTTTATCTTGTATAAAGCTTAGGATAATGACGGTGCAATTGTTATACCATGGACCAGGGTTTATATTACATTGTGAACCTTGATACAAAAATTATATACCTTCAGTTAACACATTCTGTATCTACAGTTAACAGTTTCTGTATAGATAAACAAATAACTTGATAATTGCTGACACATTATATGATACCTATAGGCACTGTTGCAAAAATCGGTCTAAGCGCCCTTAAGCTGTGGCTTTCCCGCCTAAGTTAGCGCCTAACTTGACCGACTCGACCGCCTAGTGCCTAACTCGGTCGAGTTAACTCGTCCATTTCATATTATATATATATATATATATATATATATATATATATATATATATATATATATATATATATATATATATATGTATGTATGTATGTATGTATGTATGTATGTATGTATGTATGTATGTATGTATGTATGTATGTATGTATGTATGTATGCATGCATGTATACACACACGTGCACTATTTTCTTATTTTTAGTTAGTCGCATAAGAGGCCGTCTAGGCGCTACTCTACGGCCTAACACCTACTGCAACCATGGCTACAGTTTACCTACAGGTACAGAAACTATCAACTAGAAGTACAGAATGTGTCAACTATAGATACAGAATCTGACTTGATAATTGCGTACACATAATATGATAGCAGGTAAATAAATTATCAATTGCAAGTACAGAATGTGTCGACTATAGATACAGAATCTGAATGTTATTTTTGAACCAGGGGCATAAAATGCAAGGTAGACCCTGGTCCATGGTATAATTTGCCATGACGGTGGGTTTCCTCATAGCAAAAAAAAATGACGTTTTTTCCCCCGAGTTATATGCTTATAACATTTTTTTCTCAGGAGTTACTCATATATCCACATTTGTAGGGCCGGCCCTGGGGCAAGGGCAGGCTAGGCCCTTGCCCAGGGCCCATGCTTGGGGGAGAGCCCCATCATATCTCTTATATATAGAGTATATATATATTGAGTATAAGTAATTTATATACATATGTTTTATAGTAAGGTGAATTGGCTTGGTTGGTATGATACTTGAATTTTAACTTCATTTAATCAAAGGCCGGTGATCCAAACATTCCCTTCACAATTTAGAATTCCTCAACTTTACTTCTTTGCTTATATTTTAAAAATTTATTTTTATTGATTTTTTTGTGTTTAATACAGAGTAATATTTTTAATGTAGTTTTTAAATATATAAATTCTCATATATTTATACTAGGGAAAATTGTAAAAAAAAATGCCCCTCTATAATATGCCAATTATCAATGTCACCCCTGAATTATGAGTGGTGTAAATGTTGCCCCTCAATTATCAAAACGGTGCACATATAGCCCCTCCCGTAACGGACATGCGGTTCCCCGTTAGTGTACGACACTGTTAAGTCGGAGTAAATATGTAATTTAGTTGTTTTTTCCCTCCCTCAATTCGAAGTACCAGCAATGGACAGCGGTGGGGAACCACAGGCCCGTTACGGGGGGGCTATATGTGCACCATTTTGATAATTGAGGGGCAACATTTACACCACTCATAATTCAAGGGTGACATTGATAATTGAAATATTATAGAGGGGCATTTTTTACAATTTTCCCTTTATACTAAACATATTATGAAATTTTTTTATATTAAATTTTTAATGTAGTTTTTAAATTTAAAAATTTTTATATACTTATACTAAACATATTATGAAAAATTGAATTAAAAAAACTTCAATCAACTCATGTTAACCAAACAAGAAACGTAAAAATAGGACAGAGGGGGTTATATGATATATTTTAGATTGAATTATAAAAAAAAAAAAATTAAAAGATAATTTACTCCGTACCTTTTTATGAATATCTAATCAATGTAATATAGAAGTTTCTATCATGTGTCATTGTATTCAAATTATTCTAAAAAAAGTTTGAAATTTATCTATTTAAAAGAAAAAGTATTTATAAAAATCATATAAATAATATAGAAAGTTAATTCCAACAATAGTCCTCCGACTATTGTGATTTTCCAAAATTGGTCCTCGTCTATTAATTTGGACGAAGAAAACCCTTGACTATTATATTTATTCCAGCATTGGTCCTTCCGTTAACTTTCCGTTAGTTTAGGCGTTAGTGTAGGGCTAAAATGGTCATTTCATCTAATTGCTTTCTTCCTCTTGTTGGTTAGTAGCAAAACCAAAACTCCATTACACACGGCGGCGACGAAGAGGTTGTCAACCACAAGTGTTCAGACTCCAAGAGATGCCAAATTCAACAGAAGAAAATCTGTTCTCACCACACTGAATTATGAACTTTGCGTCTCCAATAGTGTCAAGCCAAACCCCTAAGCTATTTAAGCAAGATCCTGTTTCAACTTGAATTTGAGCACAACCAGTATAATAACTAAAAGCAATTCTCACAACACAGGATGATAGCAGTGAATACAAATGTTGAATGACACCAAGATTTGTTCAGTCAAGAGATGCAAAGTTAAGACACTATTATGAACCGAGAGTAAGAGGATGCCCTTCATAGAAGGAACATCATCAACTCACCAATAACAATACAGTACGGAGAAAATTATACTGTGTATATGTTACAGAAAAAATTTAGTCCTGCAATACACTTAGAGATATGACCTAACTACCTAAGTATCAAAGCCTTTGTTTAACCTGGGTTTCAGCATGTTATTAAGGATTACAAACTCTTCACAATGTGCACAGAAGAACTATATCATGGAGATATCAGATTTGAAATTTAGACAGAATCATGCTAAATAGTCACAGACCAGAGGCAATTTTGCAGGCCTTCTGAAAAGGAGAAAATTTGAGAACAAGGCACAGAGAGAAACCAAAGAGCATAGCAAACTTCACAACTGCTCATCCTCCCGCAGGCCTTCACGGCGTTGATCGGAGCCTTCATAGTCATGGCCATAATGCTTTCACTTCCTCATCCTTCCGGAGGCCTCCAACCGCCGCCGCCGCTGTGGCTCCTCCCACAGCTGGCTCGTCATCCTCGACGAGTCGCCATCGGTCTTCATCATCAACCCGCTCACCCGAGCCAAACTCAATCTCCCGCCGCTCTCAGGATTCCCTAACGTCCTCGATTTTAATTTCTACAACGTTGGCCGTGAATACACCCTCCTATCCGAAGGCAGATCCATACCTGCCGTTTGAAAGAAATGTTCGACACTTTTATCAAAAAGGTTGTCCTCTCCGGTAATCCTTTGCTTCAACAGAACTTCACCGTCATTGCGATTCTCAACCAAACAGGGGACCTGGCGTACTGCAAAAACGGTGAGAATTCCTGGAATTTGATTGACAATGCTAGGTCATTTTGTGAGAATGTCATTTACAGCGTAGGATTGTTCTATGCTGTGAAGAAGAAAGCAATAAAGAGGAAATGACCATTTTAGCCTTACACTAACGTGTAGCAAACGGAAGGACCAATGCTGGAGTAAATCTGATAGTCAAAGGCCTCTTTCGTCCAAATTAAAAGACGATGACCAATTTTGGAAAATCACAATAGTCAGAGGACCATTGCTGGAATTAACTATAATATAGAAGATGTGTGATTTATAATATGCTTTATGTTCAAACTATTTTATCTAGATAATTATGTTTCATATCTTTTTGTATTTTTTTTTTATTGCGCATTGAAATATTTTAATTTCTTGCTCCTAGTCAAAAAAGATTTTTAGCTTCACATATGTTTGTAATTATTGTTTTATAAATTTTTAATAATAATTAATTTATTATTTATTATGATAACAATGCTATTATTTATAAGTTTACTCGATTTTAAATTATTTATTCATTTTTATAAATTATAATATTATTTATTTGTGAAGGCACTTATACGATTATTTATTATTTTGCATTAAGGAAAGCACCTAGAATTTTTTTCATGATTATTGTTGTGTATGTAAAATTGTTAAAAACTTGTTAATCTTATTTAAAGTTATTGATATTAATAATTTTTTTATTATTTAATTTAAATTTTAGGCATGAAATACATATTAACCGAGGCCCATTTTTTTTATCCTGCCCCGGGCCTATAAAATAATAGGACCGGCCCTAACATTTGTCCCCTCAGCTATGTTAAAAGTTACAATTTTTTCCTTTTACTGTCAAATTGACATTTTTACCTTTAAAATAAGTATTCCATTTATTTATTTTCAACAAATTATTGCTTATATATATGAATGAGTACGGTTCAATTTGACGACTAATGACGTAGTTTCCTCATAACCAAAAAAAAAAACAAACAAACACAAATTTCTAATGTTTTTATAAAGCTACATTTCACAACCCACGACACATTGGCATTCTGATTTCAATTTCCTTCAAAGCTCAAGAATCAAACCAGACATTGCTGAACCTAAAACAAGCCTAAAAGAGAGGAGTTGCATTCCCAAATCAAATAATCAATTATTACAGAAAAGCCTCAACACAATATAATCCTATTCACTACATCTGACTATGAAACACATATGAACAGATAAATTCCCTTATTTCTATGAATAAAATGAATGATGGATATGATGAAAGCATGAACAGAAGAACAAATGTATGGCTGTATAATGTCTTCAAAACCTAAGATTTAGAGCCACAAGCCAGGGAACAGAGGCTGCCAATCTTTATAAAAAGCCATTGCAAAGGATTCGGACTTTCAGTTTCTTCCACAGAAGGTGGGCCGGTTGGTAATGGTAGCTCTGTGGGTAAATGGCGATGAAAAGCATCAACAGCACCTGAAACTCCATCATCGCTATCCACTAGCCTTGCTAGCTCCATTACTCGTGATTTCACCTGTTCAATTATAATGGAAGAAATGTCAAACCATGTTGGGCTGAGGCTGGTGAAGGGCCAAGTCCAACACCAAATAGCTATGGGGTTGTTAGGCAGAGGCCTGAATGGTCAAGTCCAACCCCCTGCCTCTCGAAAATGTGCTGGCGGTATAAGAAAATAAAGTTGCCCATTTGCTAAGGGCATCCACAATAGGTGGCGTTTTCTTGGTTTTTGCAGGTTTTTTGGCCACATGGAAGAGAGGGAGTGGGTTCTCCCTGCAATTCTGCAAAGACCAAGGTTTTTTCAGAATTCTGGGTCCCACCAAAAGAGAGAGGCAACCTCCTTCTCACGCTAGCACAAAAAGGTGCCCAGCCGGGCGTGTAAATACAATTTTTATTTATTTATTTTTTTGTTTCAGGCCTGTTTTTTTTTCCCTTTACTTTTTTCTCACATTTTCCTCTCTCCTATTTGGCACCTCAAAAACCGATCCAAAAAACCTCACTATTGAGGATGCCCTAAGAGCTATAGCTTTTGGCGTAGTGGTAAGCGCTTGATCCTAACAAACCATATTTTTTCATGACATTGACAGTTGAAGTTCCAAGTATAAAATTTAAACACTAACTGAAACGGAAAAGACAAGTGTTCATAAATACCATGATTCAGAAAGGTAAATGCGTACCTCAGGTTGGAGCATGAATCTTATAGCCTCAGATAAGCCTTCGACAGTGAGCTGAGATATAGGAATTGGAGGTGGTCCGAGTCCCTTCTGATGAAGTCTGTCACCCCAGAAAAATTGATCTCCGAAGAATGGTACGATAGTTGTTGGACACTGCATTTAGTATTGGACAACCGCATGACGGTGGTTAGGTTTTCCGCCATGGAATGCGCAGGAAGGGCAATCTATACATCTACTGTCACAAGGCATTAAGTTGAAATTTAATTCAATTTTCAAATTTCAAAGAAAGAGAATATTACCCCAGCCCGTAGCCCTGCAGCCGTGGTTCCGGCACCACCATGATGAACCTATGCACAAGGAATAACAATATTAGTACATTAAATGTCATTTCACACAATAATTTTCTCAATAGAATAACACAATTGTGACACGCAGGAAACTCAGAAAATAAAAATGGCAAAACTCACCACAGCTGAGCATTGCAGGAAAAGCCAGTCATGAGGGCAATCCGAAAGCGTATAAACAGTTTCAGGAATTTCTGGTACTGAAAGGCAACATAGGTAAATTTCTCATTAAAAAAAAAAAAAAAACACATAAATTATGAATGATCTACAATCAGAAGTGAAAAAAACTCGCTAAGGAAGAAATGTTCAAAGGGGAAAGCATGTCCATCCTCAGAATATGCATCAACTTGCACAACCAAATATTTCATCACATTTCTCTCGTTTTTTTTTTTTTTTTTAAAGTCGAGTTCTCCTGAGAGAACCATCAGGCATCTCCATAAGGAGGCAACCTAGTTCAATAACAAATAAATTAAAATATCATAGCAAAATCCTTTTGATGACTCTCTAGGCAATGGACATTGTACTCCTAAGAAAGCAAAACCTCAAAAGAGAAGAAGCATCATGAAGAGAGATAACTTACAAGTACCAAGACCTCCCCAACCTTGGTCAATAATTCCCCTCTGTCCGGTAACTTTCAGTGCTTCCAGAATTATGTCTGTGGTTTTCTTGGAATCCTCGAGAGGCTTCAAGCAATAGATAATTATCAGTATGTAAAACCTCATAAAACTCACTGTGCAAACTGAAGTGGATTCAAACACCAACAAAGACTATTCACAATATTGTCAACAGATGAGAATATATTAGCTTTATGTCTCTCATATAAATGTAAAATATGAGAAGCCATTAGTATTTAACATGTTTCATAAGGTATGTTTCAAGGAGTCCAGCCAAATTATTTGACCTGAAATGTTCTATTGTAAGAGTAGTCCATGAATTTAATTTGAAGCAGACAAGATTTGACTAATATATACCTCTAGTATGATAAGTATTCTTTATTTTTCTAAAAACACCGCAATAAGTCTAATAACACATGGAGAATCTAAGTATCATCTGCTACTATTGTTAATTTTACAAGCTCTTCAATTTAATTGCTAACTGATTACACAATCCAGATCGATTTAAGATGAAAAGAAGTAAGGTTCATGAAATAATAATGCAGAAAGGGCATATTAGAGCAACCTCATTGGTAAGGTTTTTAGGAAATTTTTTGTGGGTCCTAGATTGCAACAACGAAAAAAAAAAAAAAAAAAAAAAAAAAGTGAAATTAAAAAAATCAATATAAAAAGTAAAAAAAATTGGAGTCGTTGCCAGCCTCCAATCGCCAAGCAGGCATGTGCAACTTCTGTGCTTGCACTGTGCAACTTCTGTGCTTGCACTGTGCAACTTCTGTGCTTGCACTGTGCAAGTTACGTGCTTGCACTGTGCAACTTCTGTGTTGGCCTTCTCCCTCCTCTGCCACCTCACTTTCTCTTTCTTCCACAACAGCCAAAAAAACCCCCCAAAAACCTCCATTGAGGTTGCCCTTAACTAGTCTTCCTATAACATGCTATAAAGTATTTATTGGAGCTGTTTGGAAACCTCAATCTAAAAGCCTTATGGGTTCATACAGCAGTAGGAATAATATCTCAAAACAACAGACAAAACAGGTAACAGATAAACAAAAAAAAAAAAGACAAAAAAAAAAAAAAATCAAAATAAGAAGCCAATTTTTATCACTATTAGAAACTTTCAAGAATAGGATTACCATACCATGCTTCCAAAACCTATATAAATAGGTTTAGATCCTCTTTGGATCCATTGGGTAAAAGCTTCAGGAGGCTGGTAATTTGATCCAAGGTTTAAGAAACAATAACCGACAACATCAACCTGCGGGCCCCAGTCTGTGGTATTTGTCAGACAAAAAGAAATACATTACATATAATATATAGCTCTACTGTCAAAGGGTAAAGACAACCCTAAAACTAGATCTAAAACATATTGATTGGGAATTAGATTCGATCAGATATAGATTCTCCTCCCAGTTGATTGTGAAGTATATGGAGACATAGAAAACCATCAATAGAGATAAGGAGACGAGAGAGAGCTTTATCCAATGATCTAGAGAATCCCTAAATTGTTGTAGCGTCGTAAGGGTACTAAAGCAAATTCGATCATATAAAGACGTAAAGAAGGTAGACATCTGGAAATGGAAATCCCAAATAACTTGAAGTAATTACTAGCAAAGAAATAGAAGATGTGAAAAAACATATTGTCTTTACCAACAGGAGTGCAAATTGTGTGTGTGTGTGTGTATTAAAAAAGGAAAAAAGGCAAAATATTCCATGCATACCTTGTGGTTTAGGCACAACATGAGGACTCCACAAATAGCCAGTAGGCAAGTGAGATATTGATCCATAGTACATACTGAAATACGCAATCGGGGGAAGATTTAGCTTCTTTTTCCTAAAGTCATTGATGTAGCTTCGTATTCCCCACCATATCAATAAGTCCACAACTATATAAGAAAGCTGGATCAAGCAGGAAATGTTAAGAGAAAATTTCATGATTCAGAAATCCCAGAGAAAAGAGTTTTTTGCAGAAAACAGGAAACTTACCCAGTACCCAGCACTTTTAGGTACACGAGCGAATGCATGTGGAAATTCATAAGTCGGCCTGCCTATTAAAAAAACATGTAAGACAACATATTCAGAAGTTCAAAAACACAATAAATGACTAGTGTGACAATATGGAACCAAAGAATATACATCTTGTGGCTCAACTACTTTAGCCAAAGGTATACAACTGAACCAGTTCTATGACTATATTACTTAATCAATGAGGAAATCTATACAGAGCAACTTCCTAGGTTTGTTGCTTAAGGGATGACAGACATGGTTTGTTGGCTCAAACGTTCTCTGTGGCTAAAAACAATCACTTCATGCCTAGTTTGGTTGGTTTAGTACAGTGGTATAGAGGATTGTTTGATTCAAATAAAGGTGGATGGCTATCTTTTACAGGCATCACCTACATTTTGAAAGATCTTGACAAGTTTAAACATTTCCTGGGACTAAAGTTGCACAGTCAAAGCAAGGAATCTGTGTCACAATGAAAATATGTTTGGGACACACTTAAGGAGACACATAGGCTAGACTGAAAACCAGTTCACAAACCCATAGATCCCAATGCTAAGCTTCTTCCAGAATAGGGGAGCCTCTATTTGACCTTGATAGAGAGCAAAGTTTAGTTGGGAAATTGCTCTACCTAACAGTTACTTGTCCTGATATTTCAATTGCAACAAGCACCGTTAGTCACTTTTTAATGTCTCCAAGTCTCCAACTTGAGGGGTGTGTTGATATGTTGAGGTACACTAAGGGTCAGAAAGTTATTATCCAACCATCCTCTGGATATGTTCTCATCTAGTTAGATGACTAGAATGGGTAGCTTAAGAGTTGTTTTCATTTGTATATATACATGTATATGTACCCATTTGTTAAATGAAAAAACTACAATCCCTTTTTTCCTCCTATTCAACAAGATTGTCAAAGGCTACATGCTATCAATGATTTACAATTAGTTTATACAGTTGATAGAAACAAACAACAAAAGTAAGCAAATAAATAAATGGAAAAAAAAAAAGAGCTCTTTAAAATGGTTTATCAGCAAATACAAGAAATTGAAGCTAAAACCTTTGTATATGGCTTATAGATCTAGCAACATTGAAGGAATAAGAAACTCACGTCCAAGGCATTGTGAAAAATATGTGAAGAGGTACTCCAAGGGCTTCAGCAACATGAACATGTCCTGACAAAAAGGGCATGAGAACAAAAAGATGCAATGTTTGTAGACATGATTCAACACAAAGACCATTACTACTATGGTATATATAGAGAATGACATGAGAACTGAGAAGTATAACTAGTGATGGTAAGGAGTCAAGACAAAAACTTCATTCTGTCGAGGATAGTATATGAATAAAATAAATATTTCCCCTCTTGTAGCATACGCTTTATGTTGAGGTCAAATACATAATTCAACACAATTTTTGGAGCAAATTGAGGTTTTAGAAGTCCATAATCTACCCATGATCAAAATGTTTCCACATTTAGCAATCAAACGAATTTTAGCTAAAATGAGGGTGCATGTTAGGGATAATATATAAAATAATAATCTTTTCCCACTCTCTATAAAGAGTTTAATCTTTAGCTGAGGTGTGATACACATAATTCAACAAGTTCACCAATGACAATTAGAAAAATTCTAGTCGCAAAATGTATTATATTAGCTAAATGTTTCCACATTTAGCAATCAAACGAATTTTAGCTAAAATGAGGGTGCATGTTAGGGATAATATATAAAATAATAATCTTTTTCCACTCTCTATAAAGAGTTTAATCTTTAGCTGAGGTGTGATACACATAATTCAACAAGTTCATCAATGACAATTAGAAAAATTCTAGTCGCAAAATGTATTATATTATTCGTCACACACAATCCATCGTGCTCATTTGTTGAAAAAAAATAATACAAAATTACAAAAAAAGAAAAAACAGAAACCAAAAACCAAAAAACAAAAACCAAAAAAAAAAAAAAAAAAATCCAAATGGAACATTAAGAAGATTTTGAAGTACAAAGACAGAGCTATTAGGCTCACCATATGCAGGAGGATTTGCAATAATTGCTTGAGCCCTGAAAGGCTGACCAGTTTCAAGATCTGCTTCAGTACAAGCCGGAAGAAGTGATTCAATAATGGCCTTTAACTGTTTTCTCTGTACTGTAATCTCTCCTGGTGTTGAGGGAATGAGGCCTTTATTTCTGGCCATATCTGCAATTAACAAAACTTACTCACAACCAAAGTTGATCCATACTGCCAAAGGCCTTATAGTCTAGTGGCATACTTGGAACTTTGTATAAGAGGTCTGAAGTTCAATCCCCATTCCCTCAAATGTATCCTCAAAAATAAAAAAATAAAAAATTATTGATCTATACTTCGGTCATCAGTTATTAAAAGATCATGTTTGCTGCCTACAACATAAATTGTGCCAATACAATCTAATACTAGTTTACAAATTGGACCTATGGCTTTATAACTATGATCATTTTCCTGTTCTAAATGAAGATATCATCTACATAATACCACAGGTGCAGTTTCTTTGTTCACAACATCAACGAAACTAAATAATGTCACATAAAATCAAACAAGTACCACCACTACAGTATAAATTGTGCTCAAACATAAAATTAAAAAATTTGCATGCCATGAATCTCTTACATCCTGCCAAAACCCGAGGGTCACCGCCCAGAGGATAGAAGTCTACACCTGCTGACTTCACAAAATCACGGAAATTGGCATGAGTGGCCAGCCTAACAGAATGACCAAATTCCTGATAACATGCATAAGACCAATTAGAAAACTTAAGCCTAGCCAAATAGGAGGAAAAAATAAATGATGCCAATATCAAGGACCTACTCTAAGATGCAAAATTAAAGAATAAATATACAAGATTTCATCCACTTTTGCAGACAATAATAAAGGAATCCCTAGGAAACTAGGATGTAAGAATCTGAAAAGACGAACAAAAAGAATATATGGTAAAGTTATTACGAGTGAAATCTTAAGAAAACCAATGCATGCATTTATTACCTCAATGGGAATGATGAATACCTAATTTATCACAAATAAATAATGACACACTTTCAACAACTTTATTTTTAGCATAAACAGTATATATTAAAATATTACTGAGTATAACTTTCTTTGTTGGGTCATCTGGTGGGATATTACAATTCAGATGTTTAATACAATAAATAGGGTTTAGAAGGGGTTAAATACCTTTCAATTAATATAAACTTAAGCTACTATTTGAAGTTTTAATAATCATTAACTTAATTACTTAAAAGTTACAAGAAATCTTATGAACAAAGAAGGTTACTACTTTAAGATAGTAAGAAATGCCACTTTCTAATATATTCATTAAGAGAGAGAAAGAGAGAGAGAGAGAGTTGTATACCACAAAGCTACTGTTTTTAGATGGTGTAGAATTTTCGGTAAACAAAGAGGAATATGGATTAGATGGTTAGGTACAGACAGAGTTCACATCTATCATCTGTCCCATCTTCTGCACAATACATTGGTGTATGTGTGTGTGTGTGTGTGTGTGTGTTTGTTTGTGTATTGTCTACTGGATCTAAATTTCATGTTTGTAATCCAAATAACCAAGGTACATCAAAATATGTGTAAATGGGAGTGTAAGAAGCAGTGAGTAGTGTTAAGCCAACAAGGGATATACTGAAATCATGCCTGAAGTCTCTTAGCCATAGCCAGGAATGGCTGAACATCTCCCCTTGTTCCCACTACAAGCACTGCAATCTTCAATTTTGGGACCAACTTATTGTTAGATTCAGTGACAATCCTATCAATGCTAGGAAGTTGGCTTTCAAGTGTATGAAGCTCCAAAAGTTCAGAAGCCACAGGAGCACTCTTAGTTAGATCAACCTCCACTGTCCCGTCTTTTTGGATCTTTACTAGCTCTACAATGAGCTTTTGCTGAAAATGATGAAGAGAGTATGAAAAAAGTTACAACCAAATAGAAAAGATGGAACATGGTACTATGTCAATCACTCAATCATGTAAATTTTCATCTCACAACATTTAACCTAAAGATCAAAACAAGGTATAACAGTGGAAATAACAAGTCCCTAAGAAGAAAATAAAACGCAAACAATATATTTTTAATGGCAGTAACTAAGTTAAAGAGCAAATGGCATTCCATCATTCATAACACTTGTCAAAAGGCTTGGTGAAAAATATAGCTAATGAAAAATAGTGCATAAACAAACACACACACAGACATACTATATTTTAATTTTTAAGTAATATATCTTCATTCACTTTGTATTCTCCACTCATATTCAAAAGTATTTGTGACCCTACCACTCCAAATAGAATTCCAATTCTATGTATCCATCCCCCAACAAGACGTCAAAAAAAATAAATTAGAAGTTCCAACGCACAAATTTTTAAAAAAGGAAAGGAAAAGTTTTCTTAGAATTCCCAAATTTTCATTTCACTTTTAAGTAATAATATACTTGAAAAGGGCAAATATTTGTCATGCATAATACTACAACTTAACTGCTACCACACCTTATGGTTCCAATAAACAAATCTAGATAAAGTACATGGCAAAAGAAAAATCAGTTCAATGGTTCATGCTAAAAGAAAGCAACTCAAAGTGGAGCTATACAAATAGTTTCTGCAGTTTTACCTTCTCACGCTCAGAAAGTCTATCTAATCTCAGTTCGTGCCTTGGAGTGATCTTTTTATCAGTCATAGATCTTGAAAATACACCTTCCTGGCCTTCAAGGACGAGATTTCTGTGTGCCGATGCAGGTGCAGTGATGCTATGCCCCAAACCTATAAGGGAAAAGAAAACTCCATATTAAATACGGAGTAAGAAACAAGGAAATAGAAGTTCACTAAACCACCTCAAGCCATTAAAGTACTATATTTACTTTACTATGTAAAATTAGCAGACCACAAATCCAAAACTTACAAACAACACAGATAGTACCACAGTTACCCTGTGACCCTTTATGATAATGTTAATTAACAAGCAAATGTCAGAGCGTACAGGGGCACTAGAGTGTGCCACTAGTCAGTGATCATCATCTAGGGAAATAATATCAGCTTCATTTCTAGTAGATAAGGAATCCTTTTGGGTAGAGAATTGAAAACCGCAGATTTTTAATAAATACTGATTTTGTGAATGACAAGTTAACAACAAGAATACAAGATGAAACAGAAGAAATAGGAGAAGACTACAATATTTCAAGAAACAGCAGCAGAAATTTTTTGTAATGGTACAAGAAGAGCTAGAAGCAATAGGAGATACATCACTGCAAATTCCTTCACCACAATGCCATGCATAAGCATTAGCCTAGAAAAAAGGGTACAGTGTTTTCAGGCACAGATTTCCTCTCCTCTTAAGAAATATCTTTCCATCTCAGGAAAAATTGAAGATCCACCCCCAGACCCCCTTCCCTCCTCATAACAACTGTAGAGATCATACCAAAGTATTTTAAAGCAGAAAGCACAGAGTGACAAGGCATTGCCCTGGTTTAAAGCGCAAAGCAAAACATCACTTTTGTTTAAAATGGGACACAATGTAGTAAAGTGTAAACACCAAATTTAATGTTTTTAATTGATATGTAAATGCTTTGCATGCAATTTTAAGATAAAATTAGTTTAGTTTAGCTGAAATTATAATAAAACATGCATATTTGTCCGGTCATTTAGTCACAGACAGCAATACTAGGTAATACTAACACAACCAATGCAATCCTAATCAAGGTCATCCTCTTGAGAAGCAGGAGCTTCAGTTTCTTCATCAAAAAACTCTTAACATAACCATATGGCATTCAGTTCATACCTTTCCATTTTTCACCATTTTACCTATTTATCAGAAACCTTAACATAACCATTGGAAAAGAGAAATGTTAGGATAACAAGCATCAGAGTCAGAATCAGGATTTATTCTAGCATAGCACTATATACAAAGCTAAAAAAAAAAATCCTATTATGGAGGTAGGCTCATGGGAGTATAAAGTTAACAGATAACACTTTTTCACCTTTTTGGGGAGTTCAACCATTTTCCACCAAAGGTGTCAATTGCCACAGATCTCAAATTGCAGCTATTCATCGGAACTGCATAATCAACCATTTCTCTGTACTTTTTTTCTTACAGCAGCATAGGCCTACTCCAATGGACATATCTGCCCTATTTCTTTCTTTCTTTCTTTCACAAATTATAAAGTGCAGGGTCTTACAACATAAATTCAATTTTTCAATGAACAACAACCTACTTCTCTGGGCACCCATAATTTTCATGATCTCCAATTAACTATCCTATGATTCTTTTCTATTTGAGAAGAATGTTGAATGGTCAAATTAAAAGCTTAAAAGACAAAACCCTCAAATGGAATTGCCTGTTCCAAAATTCCAAAACATTTTGCAATCTAATGTGTATTGACTTAAACTCATATATAAAACCTAACGAAGATATTTTAGACATTCAATGAAGGTCATAAATACTGTTACTAATTAGTAATATACAGCGCCAATACACAAATACAACACATTGTGCAAGAGTAAATTAACAAATATGAGGAAAATCACGCTGTAAGCATGCTTCAAGAGTTCAAGCTTGGCAGTACACTGCTAATTCATTAAAAAAAATGGTAAAAAGAATAAAAAAGTACAGAAATTAAAAAAAAAAAAAAAAAAAAAAAAAAAAAAAAATGTATAAGGTGCCAACCTCTTCGGGCTCGGGGTGGTGCACTCCAACTCAGATCTGCACCCGGCAGTGATGTTGCTCTACGGTATGGTGATTCCGGAGAAGATGCATCAGATTGCACATTGGAAGAAGTACCAACTACAGAAGACAACCTCCTCATCCTATTTTCAAATGCATCAGACACAATGACATCATCAGACTTTCCAGAAACTTCCAATGGGCTACCAGCATGATCTCCATTGGTTCGGCTCATAACTGATTGATTCCCATCTTGAATCAATGAGTGACTACTATGAATCTGGAACATACTCTTCTCCCCTGGATGGCTTTCAACCACATCCTCTAAATTTCTTGAAATTTTACAATTCCCATTGCTCTCCATATTTCATCTACTAACCCTTAAAACAATCAAACTTCACCACACCACCAACTCAAAACCCTCTACAAACTACTTCCTAGCTTTCCAAACTTGTAAATTTACTCAATAAATAAACCAGAACCCACCAAAAGAATTGAGTACCACCAAGAACGACTATTTACATAATATATCCATAAAACAAGAAAACTTGAGCAAACACAGTTCCACAGAATTGAAATCCCTAACAAATCCAACCTTTTATAGCAATAATAATAATTCAAAGTACCAGCAAATATTAAGCCATAAGAAGAATACCAGCCACAATGTAAAGGCTCAGTACCCAAGCTCACTATACAAAAAACTACACGTCAAATCAATCTTCGAGCATTTGGTGTAGCCAAGTCTGAAACGCAACAAAACTTGAAGAAAATCCGCAAAAGGACCACACATTTTTCCACGCAAATCACTCAACAAAAGCATAAACAATAGCTAAGGCAGTGGGGCAGCTCCATGTGCCCCTGCGAACACAGAAACGCAGTACATGCGTGTTTTAGCAGCTGAAAAAGACTTGAAATTAGGAAATTGAACGAGAATTCTAAGAACGCAATGAACTGTACTCAGGTGCCCAGTGATAATCATTGGATCACAAGGGGAAAAAAAACAAAAACAAAAACAAAAAGTGTGAATTTCAAAAAAAAGTTATAACCGAAAAGAGGAAAGTGACAGGCTGACGACAGAGGTTTACCAGCATGGAAAAAAACCCTAGGGGGAGAAGAATCGTTTTGGAGGGAAGTTAACGTAGTAGGAAGGTGCACAACTGCACTGCACTGCACGAGAACCATCAACAAACTGATCTGGTCAATCAAAAAAAAAAATTGCATAATAACAGCAAAAAAGCTAAAAGTAGTACGCCTGTTTATTTTTAGAAAAATGGTTTCTTTTTCTCTAATTTTCATTTTTCTTAAACGAGTGAGTTTTATGTGAGATCGTTTAGTAGATTTTTATCCATTAAACGAGTTGAGTCAACTAAGATAGAAATGTAATATCTATATTGAGAAAATGTAATATTAATCAGGAATAGAGTGATTGTTACTTATGAGGAAAAAGTATAATACTTTTGAAAAAAATGTAATACTTATATTGCCAAGCACCTTGTGTTTAGATGGCATGTAATGACTCTTCCATATGAGAGGTCATAAGATTGAGCTTTAATGGAGGTGGTGCCCCTCACTTATAAGCAGTGTTGTAAAAATCGGCCGGGGTCGATTTCGTATTTTAAATCTTTGAATAATTGAAGTATTTGAGTATTTTTATTTTTAATATTATTTTGATGTTATGACTTATGAATTATCATTATTTCATTTATTTGGATGTGTTATTTGATTGAATGTTGAAAACAGTCTCATTAAAATTGGCAAACTACATGTCTGCCACTATTTTTTGGCGTTGTCCGGGCACCCGACTAATGGCTAGCGCCTACTGCAACCATACTTATAAAGGAAAGTATAATATTGTTGAAAAAAATGCAATAGAAAAATATAATACTAATCAATAAATAAAATATTTATTACTTATAAGGGAAAATGTAATACTTTTACATTTTGATTAAAAAGTATTACATTTAAAAAAAAATATTATAATTTCCCTTATAAGTAACAAACAATTTATTCTTTATTAGTATTACTCCATCTGTCTCATTTTGCATGTCATGTTTATTATTCATTGGTCAAACTAATCCTTTCTTTATTACTTATTTTCTTTAGTATTTTTAATTAATTTTAAATTTGATTTTTCGTGTTTAATAGTACTTTTAATGTAGTTTCTAAATAAATAAATAAATAAATAAATATATATATATATATATATATATATATATATATATATATATATATATATATATATATATATAAATTGTATAGACTTATAATATTAAACTTAATATTATGAAAAAGTTAAATTAAAAATAATTTTAGTCAAGTCTTGTTAACCAAATCAGACGAACAAAATGAGACAAAGGGAGTACATTTTTTAGTATAAGTATTACATTTTCATCTTGATCCGACCGGTCTCACATTATCATACACAAGTTTTTGCCTTCTTAAATTAGTTTACAATTTCTAAAGTAGTTTTTTTTTTAAATGAAAATGCATGATAATAATTGAAGTGGCAATGGAGTGCTTAGCAATGCAACACATATTCAATTAAAAGATTGTAGATAGTTACTAATGTGAGCAATAAGTAGGGTCTTGTATTGAAAATACATAAGTGGTAAAAAAGTAAATGTAGATAGAGAACTATAGGTAAATGAAGTGGTGATTAATTAGGTAAGAGGTGGTAGACAAGATTAGGATTAACATTTAACATTATAAATTATATAAAATACGTGAACAAATTAAGGGTGTGTTTGATTTATGGGTTTACACATTATGAATGAGAATCAAATTTTTTTTTTTTAAAGAGAAAGTTTAATTCATTAAATCGGAAACAAGAATGTCAACAAGAAAAGCAGGTGGCTCATCCAACCACTCACCGCAACCTGACACAGAAAAGGCCTCCCTAGCAACAGCATGGGCGACACAATTCGTAGATCGCTTAACATGACAGAACTGCACATCCTCAATCTCAGATGCCAAGCTCTTTACATCATCTACTAAATAGCCAAAAACAGAAATAAAAGAATCCGAAGTTAAAGCATCAAAAACAATCTTACAATCTGTTTCCACATCTACAACACCCAAACCAGTGCCCTTCAGCCAACTCAACGCCTCCCGTATAGAAAGCACCTCTACCTCCCTAACAGTATACAACCCGGATACTCTGACATTCTTAGCAGCAAGGAAATTACCACCATCATCCCGCAAGACCCATCCAAACCCCATAGCATTATCCACCTCCCTTAACGCAGTATCAGTATTAAGTTTGAGCCTCCCAAGCACAGGTTTTGCCCAAGAGGTCACGGCATGTGTGTGTTTGTGGCCAGCACCAACCTGTAACTTTTCATTAGCATCTCTCCAACAATCCAGAAACGCCATAGACCTACGCACCATAGTAGATAAGTCAAAGTCAGCCCCCCTCCATACACTCTCATTCCTACCGCACCACACACTCCAACAAGCCATCACAAACCTAGGCTTATTATAATTAGTGTTTAGTTGACAATTTTTTAAAACAAACTATGGGATTTTATTACCTCTTCAATTAAAATTCGTATTTCCTAATTAAAAAATGTATTATTACATCTTATTCGTAATATGATGTTTAGGTTTGGATTAGTGTTTTTAGATTTTTTGTTTTGATTTTTTTTTGTTCATATTAGTGTTTTGGATATCATTATATTAGAATCAATTGTCTTGATTTTTTATTTTTGATATTTTTAAAACATTTATTCCCGTTTTCACAAAAAACAAAAAAAAAAAAAAAGCATTTATTCTCATTATAGGGTCATACATAACCAAACATCAATATTGGTAATCATTCAAATTCCACACTATTAACAAAGTACCAAACATACAAAATATTTTTACCAAATCTCATATAATAACCAAGTATTTAATTCTCATTTTGATTCCAATATTTATGTGCAAACCAAACACACCCTAAATATGTTAGGGTGAGTCCGTCTTATAGAAAATAGAAATTGTCAACCTACCTTGCCCTGCCCCATGAGCCTAACTCTGCTGAAAATTTTAAAAAATTAATATACTAAAACATTTAATAAGTAGAAGCATAATAGTTTTTACATTAAGAATGTATTTTGTATTATTAACTTTTTTTAAGTGTATTATTATATATTAAATTAGTAAAATATTTCACATTCTAGCCATTGACCTGTTTAAAAAGTAGCATAATAAAATTAGTAAAATATTTCACATTCTAGCCATTGACCTGTTTAAAAAGTAGCATGAAATGTTATTTAAGTAGTCATTTTTAGACAATATTTTAAATGGGGTCTACTTTTTTTTTGAGACGAGTTAAAGTGAATTCACATTTTTTAAATGAGAGATTTATTTTGATAAATTATACATTTAAAATGGACAATTAGTGAATGAGAAATTGATTCTTAAAGTATAGCGAAAAATGGAGTTTTGAAAAGTTGTAAAGTAGTGTTTGTCCCATATATGGGAGAACATGCAGGTTTGCACTAGTATATACTATATACCGGAGTATATACAATTCAACTTTTCTAAGAAGTTTGAATTACATAGCATAGAAGTCATTTCTTGCGTGCATGAGGGATGCAAAGCAAATTTCAAAATGAATTATGTTACAAAAGTTTATGTTTTTTTATTATTTTCGCCTCTACTAACGACATGATGTTTTATAATAGTATTAATAAGAATCAAACACGTAAAAAAAAAAAAAAAAAACAATTGTGACGAGATTTAGTTTTAGTTAATAGTGGCAATCATTATTGTTTAGATCTATTGTGCGTACCGACATTTGACCTTGTCTGCTGAGTCATTGTATTGCTGTGATTTACATACTCCTAAATATTCTGTTCAGTCGAGGTGTGTGGCCCTTGAAGTTGAGAATTATAACCTTTTGTGACAACCATTAATGTTTAGATGTATTAAAGAGTAAGGTAGACAATGATTGAAGTTGTAGTGTGTTTTGATGATTTAGATTTTTTAATATGACAAGTATGTATTATTTAGATGCTTACTAGTATTTGCACCCGTGCGATGCACGGAATGGATTTGTTGTAATATATTAAGAATATATGAATCGATATATAATTATTTAAATTAGAACATCAAATATTATATAGTGCAATTAAATATATGGTTTGGATCGTTTATATATTTTGATGTTATCATTGCTTGAATTTGTGCAAATAATTGCTCAAACTAATAGCTAATGTCTAGATGTACGCATACAGTGCTATAACTTTGAAGATTTTATTTATCATTGTTTAGAATTTTCATAAATTAGGAAAATGTGCTCGTTCTCTAACAACTCAGTTATAGAAATGAATTGGTATCCTTATTCATTTGTATGGAAGATATATTTTTTTGTCTAGATATATAACAATTTATTCATTAAAAAAACTTAATATCATCGATTATATTTACACATTATTGAAACCTCATTGTAGACGACATTGGTAGTGACAACACAATCCTATTCAACTCAATTAGTTATCCTTTTATATTTTCAATCAATTAGTGATATTGGATTCATTTTCAGTCAATTATTCTTTTTTATTTTCAGTCAATTAACCAATTAGAATATCAAATGTAGTCATATTTTTACCTAATTTTCGTTCCATTTTTAATTGATGATGTAGATATTATTATTGAAATATTTTCGTTTCATTTTTAATTTAACTTTACTATTGTTTAAAATATGCATTTACTATTAATAATGTAGAATATTATTATTGAAATATTTTTCTCCAATTTTTAATTTTCATTCTATTTTTAATTAAAATGCAATGATTTGGTCATTTCTTCTTCTTTTTTTAGTCAATTATGGAGCATTTTTTTATTTGCAGTCAATTATTAATATTCATTTCATTTTAAAATTTTCAGTCAATTAGTAATATTAGATTCATTTTCAGTCAATTTTTTTTTTATTTTCAGTCAATTAGAATATAGATGTATTGATATTTTTACCTAATTTCCGTTACATTTTAATTTGATGATGTAGAATATTATTAATGAAATATTTTTGTTCCATTTTTAATTTACATTTACTATTTTAAAAATATGCATTCACTCCTTGATGATGTGAAATATTATATTGAAATATTTTTTTTCTATTTTTAATATTCCTTTACTTCTAAACAAAAAGGAAACAAAAAAAAAAAAAAAAAAAAAAAAAAAAACACTTTGGACTTCTCACTACTTGCCCACATTGATGGCAAGCAATTATGTTTGTAAACATTTTCAAGAGCTCCTCTTTCCAAACATT